GATCAATTGACCTAAGGCTCCTGAATGTATGTCACATACTGGAGTGTGACATTAATTAAATTGCTGAGAATTCATGTGCCGTCGCCCACGTGACCTTCCTACAGTTTCCCCTAAATAGCCTGCCCTCCTCGTCCATCCCTGGTTCCCCTTCATGTGGGAGCTGTGGGATTAGCTCCATCCCCCAAGGAGGGCACTGACATGAGGAAGCAGGACAGAGCTTCAGCATCAGGACTCTGGGGCAGGTGCTTGCAGGCCAGGTGCTTGAAGCACTGCCAGCGTCGGAAGTTCTGGTAAACACTCCTGGGGTTATAGGAGTCCTTTGGCGGGGCCTTGGCCTGGGAAGGGGCCTTGTCACCATCCCCACAAGCCCCATGTGGCCGTGGCCTGGCATTCCCTGGGAACACGGTGGGAACCAGCTGGGCAGCTGGAGGGTGGGCCAGAGGTAGGTGGCCTGGGAACCAGTCCTTTTCGCCAGCCCACGTGCCCCCGGTGGATGCCACAGGAATCACGGTCTCCACAGCAGGCGCTGCCAACAGCAGGGGAGCAGGACGCTGAGCACCCCCACAGAAGGCCCCTGGAGCACTCCAGTTGAGGGAGGAGGTCCTGAGCCAGGACAGTGGTCTGAGTGTGAGAGGGCTGTGCTGGAGCCCCTTCTGTCCTGACTGGGACAATGATATTGAAAACCCTGGCCCCACTTGGGCCATGGCCAGCGGCTCCCACCATCTGAGGCGTCCTCAGGAAAGCAGACAGCACCAGAGGGCCACCAGGAAGGAATGCTGACGTCACGAGGGCAGGTGGCAGCTGCTCCCAGGGGGCCTGGATACTCGGCCGGAAGCAGGTGAAGGAAATAGCAGACCAGTGAATGGAGGGTTCAGGGTCATGCTGGGCCCCAGCACTGCAGATGCTGTGGAGACAAAGGAGAGGACCAAATGAGCAGGAGACTCGGCCATCAGGCTGGAGGCTCTCCCTTCCCTGAGAGTCACTGGCAATAAGAGTGAGGCATTGCAGCAGGTGAAGGACATAAAGACGGGGAATTGTGCGGTTTGTCCCCAAGTGAATTTAGTGCTGTCCCTCATGTTGAGAATTATTCTGCTAGAGAACTGGCTCCCCATTCACCGAGACCCTCTGACCCCTGTCAGCCAAGAAGCAACAGGTAAGCTTCCCCTGGCCCTGAGAGCCTCCCCAGGGTGTCCCTGGCACATGACCTGCCAGCCTCATGGGCTTCCTCCTAGATGTGAGTCGGGATGGACTCTGCTTGGCAGCACAATGCCCCTCAGTGTATGCACCCCCACGAAGGGCACCTTCTCCATTGCCAGTTGCAGGCACCCATATGGCCTGTGTGAAGCCAGCAGATTCACAAGGTTATGGGCCCTTCTCCTCCTCAGTGTCCTTTTCCTATTTCCTGAAATACACATAACTTAAAATTGATCATTGTAACCATTTTTAAGTTCAGTGACATTAAGGACATTCACATTGTTGTGCATTCGTCACCACCATCCATCTACAGAACTTTTTCATCTTCCCAAATAGAAACTCTGTCCCCATTAAACACCTCCTCAGTCCCACCGCTGGCACCTCTGGTTATCCAGCGTCTGGTAACCTCCATTCTATTTTCTGTCTCTATGAGTTGGACAACTCTAGGTACCTCATGTGATGGGATTGTATAGTATTCATCCTTTGGTGGCAGGCTCCTTTCACTCGGCATGATGTCCTCAAGGTTCGTCCATGTTGTAGCATGTGTCAGAATTTCCTTCCTTTCTGAGGCTGAAGAATCTTCTGTTGTATGGACAGACCACATTCTGTTCATCCATATGTCTGTGGATGGATGCTTTGGGTGCTTCCACTTTTGGGTTATTACAGATGCTGCTGCTATGGACGTGGGTGTACAAATACCTCTTTGAGACAATGCGTTCAATTCAGAAGTGGGATTTGCTGATCTTAGGGTACTTCTGTGTTTACTGTTTTGAGGGACCACCGTACTGTTTTCCACAGCGGCTGCACCATTTGACATTCCCACAAGCAGGGCACAAGGGTTCCGTTTTCTCCACGCGTCCTGGCCAACCCTTGTTATTTTCCGGTTTTGTTTTTTGTTTTTAAATAGCCATCTTGATGGGTGTGAACCATACTAATCTCATTGTGATTTTGACTTCTGTTTCTCTAATGACTAGTGAAGTTGAGCATCTTTCTCTGTGCCACTCCCTAATTTTGAGAGAAATGTTTTTCCTTGCTTTTAAGACGACTGCAACCAATTCTCATAGAATAAATGAGATATTTAAGATTTCAGTTTTCCTGAGGGAAGAGATTTCTTTTTAGAGAGATTGCTAATGCATGCCATAACATTTAAATTGCCCTTTTAAAGTAACAACAATCTCCCACCAGATTGGAGTTGAGTTTTATTTTCTCATTCTTCAGTTGGACTAGAGTAGGGAACAGAAGCCTGAGAGCAAGGGTAAGGTTTACTCACCTGATACCTACTGACTGGAGTTCCGTTGGGTAAAGTTCAAAGCCTGTTTTTTTTTGTTGTTGTTGTTCTTGTTTGTTTTAACAAAAGAATTTAGGTTGACTTATGTTTTCTAAATCCGGTAGCTGGCTGGAGGATGTATCACATTATTTCCTGAGCCGGTATAAAATTATTCTGAAGAAAAACCACTTATAGTCTATTTCCTTTGTGTCAGAAAAGCT